TACTTAATGTCAGTGTGCACACTGTAATTACAGATACCCCATTGGATAATAGTCTGTGTTCGTCATGTTCTTGTTTGTGTGCATTTGACTGTGCGTGTACTTTAATAATGAGTTTGTTTGTGTGTGCCCTCTTTTGTATTTTTTTTTCTGTGTGAGTGTGTTGTGTTTTGCTCTTCGTGTGTGAGAGTATGTTAATGTTCTGGAGTATAATATGACTGCTCTTTTTTGAGCCCCACAGCAGCCAAGGCAGGCTCAGAGCCGCCACCCCTGCTGCAGTGAGCCAGCCGGTTTCCTGAACTTATTTCCCACCTCCCCTGCCATGTTGTTATTGGCAGACTACGGTAGACAACCGCAGACCAGGGGCCCCCGTGGTCGCTGGTCCACGGGGCTGTCGCTGTGAGTGGATGTCCAGTACGTGCAATCACTCCAAATGAAATATTAAGGCCGTTTGATATCATGCCATGACACCAGAGTGGGGTACAGTAGAGAAAAAAAAAAACTTCCAAGAGTTCTGCTCCAGCACCACCTTGATGAGCACATTTATCATCTTGAGTAGCAGCGACAAACAGAGGCTGTGGATATGTCACAATGAAAGGAATCATTGAACAAACATTCTAACTTTTGAAGGTGGTGTGAACAGGTGTCGTGCAAAAGTCCGCTACATCATTTGAAATACGTACGAATATATGAAAATAATAAGACAGAAACAAGGATTCCGCAAAACAGGATATGGCTGTGACGTAGCAACACCATTCACAGGAAATCACATTTTGAAGCGCAGCAAACAGTTGAACACTCGTGGCTGCACACTGCACAACAAGTGAGTCGTTTTTTTTTTCCTTTAGTGTGCGGCGGGAAACACGGACCAAAAAAAAAACGTGCAGACGTTGTGTCTTTGCACAAAGAACTGAGTGAGTTAGCCTTCGCAAAACATGGTTAATGCCATTGCCGTTCAACAAAGCGATCGCGAGTGATCCACAATTGACTTGAACGAATTCTGCTTTAAAACGTGAACTTATTTGGCTGTGCAGCACTTGTATGCATGTTGTCGAGACTGGCTGTCAAGCAGGAACCAAACTCACTTGACTGTGTGTCAACAATTATTCAGCACTTAGACAACACACGCCCACATGCGTGTGAATGCCCAAATAAATCTCAAGGCCCGAATGTAGGAACGAGAGAACTTATAGGAAGGAAGATATAAATAAGTGTCTAAATGTGACTGCACCCGGAAAGCAGATGTTCAATTTAAAGCGCGCCAGAAAGTGGTGGATGGTCTTTTTTTCTTCAACCCAGAACTCAACAATTAACTTTCTTGAGAAACTCGCATAATACAACCATTTTATTCATCTTATTTGATCGAATGCACTTCGATAAATTTTGTGCATGCATTCTACCTCGGACTATTGAGCAGCACATGCAGTAAATGCCTTCGCGACTGCAGTCTATGTTCCGTGGCAGCTTCAAATGAAGTGACCTGCTTTTGTTCCAGACAGCCCACATTCCTTCTCAGATCGTATTAGCATAACACACAGTGTCACTGCTTTTTTTTTTCTTTCTGGGAATTAATTATCTTGCCTGAAATAAGGCTGCTTGCACACTGAGAAATCCACATTCATTTAATGAATTTTCAACAGAATGTAGAACATTACCTTAGGGTTTGTGTGCACATGGCCTCAGAAAGTCACAAAACTACAACGTGGCATGCGCTTTCTAAATGCATTAAGTGTCCTTAATTGCTTGTCACATTCTCACAATTTTGAGAATTTCCGGCCTGCTGCCACGAAGAAATATTTCCATCTGGCTTATCATTCTGCAGCTAGTTGTGTCACATGCCGCGACTGCATGCAGGTTCTCACGTCAAGATATCAACAAGCCCTGCGCACGAAAACAAAAAACAAAAAAACAAGGTTAGGTGTGGTTCAGGTGCAGCACACACTAAAGGGGGCGACATTCTTGACTTTAGTTCGAGTCTGCCAGTTGTGAACCTGGTGTAACGTGTCACTTTGGCTTTCATTCACTCGCCAAAACACAGAGAGTAACCCTGGGGATTGGCCATTCCCTCTGTACGGTCCACTACTCACAAGCATCTACAGTTACACTGTTAGTACGTCTCTCGCACTTTGACCGGGTTAGATCGTAACAGCCACAGTGACAGAAAAGAATTCCGAGCGTAGAATAGACAGGTGCATCTCAATGAATTAGAACATTGAATCCCAAAGTGTGGCTCGGCTGGTACGCTAGCTCCCTCTAGCGGTACGCAGAGTCACTGAAGCAGATGTTCAAACAGCGCATGTTGTTACAGTGGTTTAAACATTTTTTTAAATCTCGTTCAGAATATTTGTGAGGTACAGTTTAGTTGTGGTTAATTTAGACGTACAACAAAGTTGCGTTCAATCTTTTAGAACGGTTTCTTAAACAAACAAACAAACAAAAAAGTACGTGTTTTTTATTTCACTTATGTATTTTGTTGCTAATTAAAAAAATGTCTTTAGTTTGTTTCTACCACATCAGGTTTTAGAGATATTTCCATTTAGTTTTCAAGTTTTACCTCTAAAAGCTTAAGTAAGTACGGATCTTACCATGCGTTGTAATTTATGGCTATGACGTTTCAGAAAGAAATACACCTGTTGCTGAACCTAACACTTAATTCATAAACATTACGGAATAATTCACATCTTATTATTATTATTATTATTATTATTATTATTATTAGGGAAACATGATGCATTTGAGAAAAAACAAGGGCAGATTCAGAATCAATGCAAAAAAATAATCTGTAAAGGTTTACCTGTATCTCTGATTTTAAAAAGTGGTGCATACTGATTTACAGCACAGAGTGAACATTTTATTATTATTATTATTTGTAGTAGTAGTCGTGGTAGTAGTAGTAGTCATTATATTCCATTCAGTTTTCAACTGGTGCAAACTACAACCGCAATAACACAGTGGAACATCTCAAGTCAAATGCCTCAGACGTGCTGATATTCGGAGTTCAACCAAAACTTTTGGGAAATAGTATTCCTCAAAAGTGAAACAGATTGTAACACCGAGTTCAAACCGTCACCATACGTTCACCCAGAGGTCACGATAATGAACAAAGGTACCAGATAGGGTATATTCCGCATTGCTGTTATGGGGCTCTATAGGAAGGAAAACATTTGTACGGCTTATCAACATTCTGGGTGGAATTTTCCTCCTGTTTTTGTCCTACTGTTGGAGTATGACTGGAATGAAAAGCAGCATCATGTGAGCGCAGTTTTAAATCTTATCAGCGTAACCCCAAACTGATGGATGATATCAGTGACAGTTCAAATACCCAAAACAAGTGCAGTTTTAAAGTGGCAACCAATAACTATGACAGCCACATGGTAAACATCATTAACATAAATAATAAAATTCATTGTTTGGGTGTCTGTCAGACACAAGAGTAGAATTTTTTTTAATGCACACTTTGAAAAGCTTGTCACATCACAAATGTTCACAATGTTCATCGTAACGTAACCTAGTTTAATAGTACAGTACAGTTCAGATGAATTGATATATTGACTTGAAATTAGAACGATTGGATTCGGTTTGACTCAGTGAAATTCCAATTCGATTCATTACGGTACAGTTCACTTTGAAATGGTGTGATGTGATGGCTTTTTTTGTTGACATTTTATATACATTTGAATAAACTTCTTAGTTCTGTAAATGTGCCATTTCCCCCTCCGATATATCTGTCCAAAAAAAAAAATATTCGATACGAATCGCAATATATCGATATGTATCTCAATATATTTCAAAATGGATTTTATTTGGTTCAATTCAATGCACTCGCATTTTTTTACACCCCTGAATGATTACAAGTACTCATAGGACACGTCATTGGATACACCAGCATCATTTTACAAGCACTCTATGGAATAAGTCTAACAGTAATATCGAGGTTGCCTTGTTTTGCACTACAACTGTAAATGCAGTATATTCTGAACTGTCATTATTTACTCCACACTTAATATTTCTTCCTTTCTATGGAGCTCTTTGCTTTTTTTTTCATTTGGTTTTCTATTGAAAAGTTTTTAGGGGGCAACTGTAGTCGGTTAATAAACTACATAATGCATTTTCTTGCATTCATTTACAAATATTTACTGCAAAGTCAGTATGAAAATCACCTTACGCTCATAAATATAAAAGTCAAAACGTTATGTACAGCAAGTAAATGGCCTTCTCTGATCGCCTCTTCCAGTGGCTGAATTTTATCTCCCCCGCCACCACTTCCGGCGCCCCCCTTCTCCTCTGCTTCGAGTGACGCTGATGACGTTTTTAGCACCGCCCCCAGCGTGAGCCCTCTCAAGGCTCTTCCTCTGTCAATTTGACTGCGCGCTTGTCATCCTTCTCAGGAGCGCGAGCAGGTGAGAGACTTTGCATTTGGGTTTCTTCTGCATGAATAAAATAGACACGTTTGATGTCATAAAAACAAAAATAGAAACACAAGGCGGACTTGTTCACAAGGCAGTGTGAAATTTTTGTGTTATACG